GAGTCTCTATGAATGATTCATGGTTATCAATTGCAGTTAAGCGATGTTCTAATCTTGCTAAAGCGAAAGTAGTCACACCAGAACCACAACCAATATCCAATATGTCTAGATGTCTGTGATTCGGATTGACAGAGCGTAGAGCTTGAAGAGTTGATTGAGTACTTCCAGGACCTTGCCTCGGTAAATCATTGTGGATCTTAAAGAAAATCTTTCGAGCAAAATCACCTGACGGTAAAGACATGTTGAGTCTTATGTGATAACTAAAAGAAAGAAAAAAAAATGATAAGAAACACAAAAAAGAAGAACAACATTAAGTTTTTTCTCTTTCGTAAAGATATAACATTCGAAAGTGGCTATACGTTAGAAAAAGAAAAAGACAAACATTTTACTGCTAAGAGCCAATTTTCATATGCACAGAGTGAGACATTTTTCAGCTGGTCTACTGTTGGCAAAGACTGGGTGTGGGTGTGGATTTAGGTATTGGTCTGAATGTGGATCTTTCTTTGATCCACAATCACACTCATACTTTCACAATTAACACCCAATTGTTGATCGCCAATAGAAAATAAACTTGATATTATTACCATGCTTTTGAATTTTACCCATTTATCACTTTTTTCAAATAGCCAATCTCATCATCGACGTACCTATCTTTCGTCTTATGGAATCAAATAAAATTTCTAATCTCTTTGATTCAGTATATTAATATTCATCGTTTCGACATTTTTTTCTTCGAGCTTTTTTACATCCGATCCTTATGAGAAATACTCACATTTTTCAAAGTGACTAATCCAACAGAACCGCATCGAAATGAATGAGACGATGCTACGAATTTATGTCAATACTTAAGTATCTTAGTCTTTTTTCATTATTTTCTGCGTCTATTTGTGATTGACTTGCAGCTAGTTACCTTTGTGTGACAAACTCCTATCAAGTTAGTTTTTGAGCTATTTAATACATGTACTGGTCTCGGATTACGAGTTTTTGAAAATATAGGATTTCATCTAAGATCTACTTAGGACAATCCAAAAGTAGTGTCATCAGGATCGTATTTCCTTAAAGTAAGGAAAAGAAATTTTCTTTTTTTATCAAAAGATAGAGCGTCTTTCGCTCTATCTTTCTATGCTATTTGATTGACCTTCACTCAATATTAGAATAAACAAATCGCGGTAAGAAATGTTGTCGTTGAAAGCTGGCTGGTTGTACATAGGGCAGTCAAAAAGTTCTGTCACTTTCAAATATTTATTCATAGCAAAAAACATTTTGCTATTCTATTTACAGTAAATATTCGAAGTAGTCTCCATGATGTCCGACACAAAGTTTCATCCTCTCAATCCACTTCTGAAAGGTCTTTTGGTATTCGTGAATAGGTATTGATCTAAGTGCCTTGGTTATTGCTTTAGCTAAACTTGTATTATCTGGATATGAGTCAAGGTTACATTGCAAACAACTGAACAATCAAAAGTCTGAAGGACTAAGGTCAGTTGGCTATAGTGGATAAACCATAACTTTGGTTTTCCTTCTTGAGTATAATTAAGATTAAGATTAATATCCTGCATACGCATTTTTGCATTGTCGAGATGCTATGTTTTTTTTTATGATGATTTTTTCTTGTGTAAATTTTTGACTAATTTTTTTAAACATTCATCACAATAATATATGTAATAGACGTGTCTGTGGTGGTAGCAATACAATCAATACTAATATGTGAATCATTGTTCACCATATCTTTAACAGCATCAATATTTTCTTGAATAGTGGTCGTTATTGGACGACACTTCGAGGATTATCTTCCAAGGACTCTCGCTCGTTTGAAAATCGTTCAATCCATCGAGCAACTATACGATATGAAACAACACCTTGTCCATAAGCAGTAGTTAATTCATCATGAATTTATGTAGCAGTTAAACCTAATAAGAAACGAGTTTTTATATGTGACCGTAAGCAGAGTATACCCATCTGAAAACAGAGGTGTTCAAAACATTCGTTACAAATTTGCCATAATAGACACTTGTCAAGCTTCGTATTGGTATTTTAATACATAACAAATGTCGCTACTAGAATAGGCCAACATGAAGAATAAAACCAATTTAGATGGAATTTTACACAGCTGTTGTCAAAACTTTTTGACTGCCCTTAGTATAATGTAATACAACCAGCCAGCTTTCAACGAAAACATTTCTTACCGAGATTTGTTTATTCTAATATTGCGTGAAGGTCAATCAAATAGCATAGAAAGATAAAACGAAAGACGCTCTATCTTTTGATAAAAACAGAAAATTTCTTTTCCTTACTTTAAGGAAATACGACCTTAATGACATTACTTTTGGATTGCTCTAAGTAGTTTTCTAAATTACAGGATTTTCACTAAAAAAAAGATAGAAGTTTTTTTTATTCATCACTTCTACTTAGAAGTAGGGTTTTCGATTCTTGAGGGTGAGGGGTGGATGTCATTGAATACAAGAGCTGGACCCACACCCACCCTTCGTTTATTCTATAGTTGCGATGTTGATTCAAAATCATTATACTGTTTTATACCTTGAATATTCAATATCTCAGGAAAGAAGAGCCATGGGCACGTATCCTTTTAGGTTTGTTCTAGTCTAGAGATACCCTCTATGTCCTCAAAGTATGAGCTCAAAAGCGGTTAATCACTTCGGACAGTTCCCTCGTTAGCCATTATTTTTTTCTCAATTGTACAAATGGCTTGCAATCGCCTCATATAACTTTATGCTTTTGAAACAAGATACTTTTGTTTTATTCGTTGTATTAAAAAACGTTACTAAAATAATGTTATACTTCATCTGATAGAATTCATACTGTCTTCAAAAGTATACCAAATTTTAAAAAAAGATACGATCTTAGATACATACAAAAAAAACCGCATCTCCTTTCAATATCCTAGACTCTTTTTTCGATTCGCTTAATATAGTAATCAATGATAACGATAGATATATAAGAAACATAAACGACAAACATCGATAGAAAAAACAAAAAATAATGTGAGTCATTAGATAAAGATAAATATTGTTTTATTTCTATAGATAGTAACTATTCTTTTTTTTTTCATTTTAGACGGTCCTTTAAACGAACATATTTGTTTTAAAGATTTAATGATTAATAATTTGAGTTTTCAATAAAATTCAACATGTATAAAGAAAAAAAAGAAATGATGCGCATCTTCATTTTTAAATTGAAATTTTCTCTTTTTTTTCTTTCTCCTGTTTTGTTCGATCGTCATTCATTGGCTTGAACATCGAGCGCACGTCATTCAAGTTGTTCTTACACATTCTAAATGAATTGAACACGAAATGTTTAACAACAACAAAGATGTCGTGCGTTCGATTTTTTTTATATCGACACAAACCGGTTGTTGTTATCATGCACTGCGTATTATTATCACTCCGTAAATGTCGACGTTGTCTTTTCTCGCGTCTTCCATCTTTTTTTACCTTTTCTTCTTTCCGTTTCTGCTTCTTCTCGTTCTTCACAACAGAAGAACAAAAATTTAAAACAAACGGAGCTTTTGAGGGTGGCTCTAAAACAAAATAGGGGTCCGGAGCTTCGCCAATAAGACTTTCGCCAATTATTGGCGAAAATCCAGAGCGTATACTAGCGAAAATCCACTGAACTTTTGCCAATTGGCGAATTTCCAAGGGATATATTGGCGAAATTTCACTGAACTGTCGCCAATTGACGAATTTCCAGGGGACGAATTGGCGAAGGTTGAATAGATTTTCATTAATGAAGGTGGAATATTCATATGGTAAGTGGTGTACAAGAACTACGCCTAGCATTATAAAAATGTACCCCAAGTCATACAGTTATAAATACAGTTGATCAATCTCTCTAATCAACGTTACTGTTATACCTAAATTCAAGAAAGTTCAATGGAAATTCGTCAATTGACGAAAGTATAGGGAGTATATTGGCAAAAGTTCACTGAACGCTCGCCAATTGGCGAAAGTTCACTGGAAATTCACCGATTGGCGAAAGTTCACTGGCCGATCGCCAATGACGAAAGTCCAGTTTGCGAAATTCCTATTGGTGAACGTCCGGTAACCCAACAAAATGAACCTTCCCAGGGATATCCGACCTTCTGTTGGTAACCTTTACAGGCGTACAGATGGTAGGCCTTCATAATATACATCTATGTATGTATGGCTAGAAGTGTCCATCTGATCATCGTCTTTCCGAAGATGATAATCATGGATATACTAGTCATACATATATAAATATATGTTTGCCTTATCATTGCCGGCTTTGTCCACTTTACAACTTAACAGAATACAGAGGGTATCCCTGATCGCGCGTGCGCGAAATTTTTGCAGCTGGTGCGCTTCGGCGAGCCTTGTATTCAAGAATGCCAATTTATTTTTTCGTTTAAAAAAAACAATCACATTTTCTTTTTTACATTGTCAATGTTTCTTTTCACAAGTGCAATATGTGGATGATTTGATGGTAGTGATTTTTTCCAGATATCTTGCGCCTTTTCGTAATATGAAAGTGCTTTCGAGCACTCGCCCATGTCATCATACACCAAACCAATGTTGTTGTAGGAAGAAGCCAACGAGGGATGATTCGGAGGGAGAGCTATTTTTTTTATTTCAAGTGCTCGTTCATACCGTGATAGTGCTTTCGAGTGCTCGTCCATGTTATAATACACATTGCCGATGTTGTTGTAAGAAGCAGCCAAGTCGGGATGATTCGGAGGGAGAGCTATTTTTCGGATTTCAAGTGATCGTTCGTACGATGAAAGTGCTTTCGAGTACTCGCCCATGTTATGATACACCCCTCCTATGTTGTTGTAGGAATTAGCCAAGTCGGAATGGTTCGAAGGGAGAACTATTTTTCGGATTTCAAGTGATCGTTCGCACGATGAAAGTGCTTTCGAGTACTCTCCCATGTCATTATACATCACACCGATGTTGTTGTAGGATTGAACCAAGTCGGGATGATTCGGAGGAAGAGCTATTTTTCGAATTTCAAGTGATCGTTCGTACGATGAAAGTGCTTTCGAGTACTCGCCCAGGTTATGATACACCCCTCCGATGTTGTTGTAGGAAGTAGCCAAGTCGGGATGGTTCGGAGGGAGAGCTATTTTTCGGATTTCAAGTGATTGTTCGTACGATGAAAGTGCTTTCGAGTACTCGCCCATGTCATTATACGTCACACCGATGTTGTTGTAGGATTGAGCCAAGTCAGGATGGTTCGAAGGGAGAGCTATTTTTCGGATTTTAAGTGATCGCTCGTACGATGAAAGTGCTTTCGAGTACTCGCCCAGGTTATCATACACTAAACCGATGTTGTTATAGAAAGCAGCCAAGTCGGGATGATTCGGGGGAAGAGCTATTTTTTTGATTTCAAATGATCGTTCGTACGATGAAAGTGCTTTCGAGTACTTGCCCATACTATAATATGCCGAACCGATGTTGTTGTAGGAAGAAGCCAAGTCGGGATGATTCGGAGGAAGAGCTATTTTTCGAATTTCAAGTGATTGTTCGTAAGATGAAAGTGCTTTCCAGTACCCACCCATGTTATCATACACCAAACCGATGGTGTTGTAGGAATCAGCCAAGCTGAGCTGACTCGGAGGGCTCATTTTCTTGTCGATATCTGTTGCTCTTTCGTAAAATGTTATTGCTTTCAAGTATTCTCCTATGCTTTGATACACCGAGCCAAGTTGACCATTATACTGCGCTTTGTATCTATCCGAAGATGCCTTCTCAAGAAGCAGCTGATAGAGATGTTCTGCTTTTGCAGGCTCGCCCAACTTAATAAGAATTTGACCCAGTCGAGACCACCCTGTTCCCACGACGTCAAGTTCTTTGCGTAAATGTGCTGTAAGTTTATTAAAATCATCGTCTTGATTACCAGCGAGGGTAAGATTGACTTGCCAGAGTCGATCTGTATGCGTGTCTTCGATACGTGCTATACGATCGATATGGAAAATTGTATGAGTGGAGAAAAGAATTTCTTCGTCTTCATCGTGGTAAAAGCCAACATTTTTCACGCTGACGAAAGGTGTCGATGATGCTGTGCAAATAGCCGTATCGATGTTCATAACAAAAAGGATCCCAACTGAATCCGCATCGAATGCTGCCGATCGTGCAAAGATTTGTAAAGAATTCTCATGACTACAACTTGTCGACAAAAAATTATTAAAGGACATAAGTCCACCTTTGGTTTTCTTCATTTTTTCAAAGGCTTCCATGGATAAGCCTTGACCACGAAAAACTTGAAAGTTTGATGGCATGGCTGCTTTGCTGTTTTGCTGTTCACAATGTAAGTCTGTAATATGTTGATGTAGATGGCGAATAAAAAAGCCCATTTTAAGTATAATGTCGACATCCATTTGTTGAAGACCACGGTTGAGCATTGAGTAGATAAAATATGGACCCGTGTACCACCAAATGGGTGTATGATCACGATATTCTTGTTCGATCTTTTCAAGTGTTTTTTCGGAAACATCACTGTGAAGACGACAGTATTCAACGAGTTCCTTAATAGATTTCACATCATCATCTTCAATTTCCAAAAGTGTTTCTTTTAACAATTGTGTATACATAAATAACGGATCAATATGATTAAAACTGATCGAGATCATACCTCGATCACAATTTCTTCGATCCATTTGTAATGCTTCACAATCGATTTTTAATGCTTCGCAAATTAAACCAATTTGTGTGTATACACCAGGGTTTGCAATGGAGTTTCGAATCAAAATGTTTCGTACACTCTGTTTAACCAAGCAAAATGTACATATACACTTTATTTTCGCAAGCAAAGTGTATCAAGATGTACACGTCGAAATTTATTATATAATCTACAAAAAAACAATAAATGTTCATTTTTTTATCTGATCAAAAATATAAAACAAATATATAAGATTGTATAAACAAAAACTAAACCCATAATTATTTTTCAATCTGATACGAGCGAAAATATATTTGAGAAAATAGTACATATAGGGTGTCCGGAAAGTCATTAGAGTTAGAAAAAATTGAATATCTCCGCTACGTCTCGAGCAAACAAGCTGATCTTTTTACCAATAACAGAGACATGTTCATACTTCAAATCCATACGGACAAGGTTAGCGAGAGCCTTTGTTAAATACCATCAATGACCTTAACAAAAAACTTTTTACTTTTTTACAGATAGGAAAAAACAATAGACTTAACAAAGAGTCTCTCTAGGCATGTCTTTATGAATACAAAGCTTGAACATGCCTCTATCATTGATAAAAGAATCAGCTCGTTTGCTTCAGCCGTAGGGAAGATATTCAATTTTTTCTCGGCAAAGTGACTTTTGCGCCACTCTATATATTGTTTTTTTCCTATCTGTAAAAAAGTAAAATGCTTTTTTGTTAAGGTCATTGATGGTATTTAACAAAGGCTCTGGCTAACCTTGTCCGTGTGGATTTGAAGTATGAACATGTCTCTATTATTGGTAAAAAGATCAGCCCGTTTGCTCGAGCCGTAGCGGAGATATTCAATTTTTTCTAACTCTAGTGACTTTCCGGACACCCTATATCGACATTTTACTTCAGCGAAAAGATATAAAAACTAAAGATTTTACTATTTCAATTTAAAAAAATATCAGCAAAAATCAATCAAAATTTTCATTTTCATCTTCTTCCCGATGCATATCTACATGATCATCGCAGAACCATACTGGATCCTCTGCTATAGCAAGTTTAATTCTACAATAATTGCACAACCATCTTGAATAGTTCTCGTCCAAATCAATCCATTGAAATTGTTCATTCTGATGATAACACAGTATTGCTTCATTTTCACTAGGATCAGTTCCAGAAGTTTCTCGTTTACAACCATTAGCACCTGCAAAAGAGATTAAAAAATAACTACGGGCAGAAGACACTACAACTCACATTTAATATACTTTGATTTTTTTTCTTTTTGTTTTCAATAAATTCTAATTGAAGATAATCTCGACTTCGCTTGGAAACTGAACGAACTTGATTAGTTGGTGTATAATCATCTGATGTATCGAGTAATAGCTGTATTTGATGAAGACGACGATTATGATTTAAGTCACTCCAAGACTCAAAAGTTTTATTAACAACTTCTTGACACCTTGAACTATAAAAACAAGCAAATATATAAAAGTTTAATAATTTTTCAATTTACCTTCGTAAGTCGTCTTTTAATAACATTCGTATAGTCATTAAAATATCCAATGTTGAAATTTTTAAACGTGATCTTCCTGTTGCTTGAATACGATTAGCTGCAGAAAACTAAAAATATAAAAGACAGTATGATATAAATTTTAGAGAAGTCAATAGTTTACGTACACCTCTTTCACATTCTGCAGAGTTAGTCGGTGAAATTAAATATATATTTAATAATAATAAAATGTTTTTATGTTGACTTAGAAAATTACTAGTTGTCGTGACCTTTAAAGCAATAAAATCTTTCCAAAACGTTTGTGTAGATTGAACAGTAGAAAAAGTATTTGCAAAATAACTCAATGGTTGCTTTAAAGACTCCCACTCATTACGAACAATATTTGAATCAAAATTAGGAAATTTATTGTATTTTTGACGAAGAAAATCTAGTTCAGATCTTCCATAATCAAGACAACTTATATTTCTCTTGTTTTTAATCAAATATTGTGGATCAAACAAAATAGACAAACACTCCTGTAATCTAGATGGAGTAAATCGTTTATCTAGTTCTTGTAGAAGACGATGAATGTGTTCTAAACAATTATTTAAATGCATTTTACGATCACCAACAGTTACTCTAAAACTTCCAAATGATTCTTCAGCTGTTGATTGAAGATAATCGAATAATGCAGGACCAACTGTTGATGAAAATTCACATGTCCAGCTTTCTAAAATTTTTTTTTATCTTGAAGCATTTCCATTAAACTATAATACGAAAGTTTATCATTTTGCATAATCTTGGTTAATAGACCTGAAATGTTTTTCAAAACAAAAATGAATAATATTTCAAAAGAATAATAAACTCACCTAAAATAGTTTCAGGAAGATCATACTGGAAATGTAGAGCTAATAAAAAGTCGTCGTTCAAAATAGATTTTAATAGATCTTTTGCTGATTCACGTTCACTAATAGATAAAGCAACATCAGTTGCTGCTTCTTGGAGGTAAGCTAATAATGACTGTGAACCTAAATAAAAGTACATTTAGACAAAGTTTTTACATAATTATTTTTATATTCACAAACCCAGTAGAACGTTTATAATAATCGGTCTAATACCATCTTATATAGTCGGCCATCAAATTTCAAATAATTTCTTGAATTTCATTTCTGGAAGATCTAAATAAATTTTACCATTGCTTTAATTTAAATAATCGAGCACTGCTTCGACTAAAATGACCATATATCCTACTAATTATAGTTTCAAGATTTAAAATTGTTTCATCAACAGCTGGTGGACTATGTGCTAAAACAAATATTAAACATCAAACTAACAAATTTTTGCTATAAAAAAACATACGATGAGTTTTCGGTTTGTAACTCGCATAACTTCCAACTAAAGAAAATGAATGTGCAAGACATGGATTCAACTCCAATCAATCACATCCAAAATTTCGACGTATTTTAGCTAGAACACCTTCTCGAACACCTGAAAGTATTGTATATAACAAACAATTAACCTATGGTATAATAGCAAAGCACTGACCAGTAAAAGTACTCGCATTGCCTGTTGCTAACCAACAACCTTTTAATGGATTTATATCATCTTTTCTCCACAAACTACTGATTGATTTAACGATATTAGCTGTAGTGCCATTTCCCTCCAAATCCATCAAACCAAAATAAGCCGTTTTAGGTTCAAAATTATCAACATATCGCACAAACACAATACAACTTTTTCAATAGTTCGAGTTGTAGTTTCACCGATCATCCAGCCTCAAACAAAGTAATACGACAAGATATTGAATAAATACATTTCGTACAGTTCCACATACCTAAGATCGGGCTTAATTGAATTTTTTCAAATAATTCCTCGTGAAGAAAATTAGCTATATGTTGGATAAATCCCATAGCTGCATGACTATTACGATATGACACACCTGAAACCTGTGCAGTCTATAATTGCACTCCTAACTTCTCCAATAAGACACATAAAGATTCAATCGATGCTAATGGATGATTTTCTTGACACAAGTAAATGCAAGCAAACATCAAATGTTGAATTGCTTGTTCATGTTTGCCAACCTCTTTTTCTCTAGTTATATGCCAATTTGGCTGTACTCGAGATGAAAGCAAAATCTCCTGCTCTTCCGCCTGCTTGTGCAGCTCACTTTTTTCTTTGTGCTGTTTGATTTTATCAAGGGATAGTGTTTTCATTCCATTATTAAACCATACACTTTCTTTTCCTGTGCAAAGAAAAATTATTTTAGGAATTTAGTCTTGTCTTTGTTCGTAGAAAATAATGCAAATTTTATTGTGGCAATTGAACTCTTTTCGAAATCACAAAGACAAATGGCTTTTTAATCTTACAACTTACCATTAACATTCCTATATTTTCCAAATTTTTGACATAGACGACAAAACATTGAGTTATTGTCGAAGTATAACCAACACATAAATCTTTCATGTTTACAACCAAAATCATCGTAGATATAAGTTTTAAAATGTGGTTCAGGTTTCTTTTCCCATTCGTGTAAATATTGTGAACGATGTTTTGTTCGAGCAGATGGTAATGCTTGTTTTTTAACACCTATATTTATAGAAGTAATGTAATTATGATAATTTACATTTACAAACTTGCGGATTAATAATCTTTACCTTCATTAATGATTTCACAATCAGGATTGACTGATAACGTCGTTGATGATGATGATAAAAATATTGTTTGCAATACAATAATATTGTTTTCATGAGAATATAAAGTAAGTTTGGCTCCTACTATAGATGATGATGAACCACGTTCTGGTTCTACTGATGATGATGAACCACGTTCTGGTTCTACTAAAAATAAAGATGAATTTTGTTGTGGTGCTACTGAAGATGATGATGAACCATGTTGTGGTTCTGCTGGAACTGCTGATGATGAACCACGTTCCGGCTCTACTACAAATAAAGATGAATCACGATCACGTTGTGATTCTACTGAAAATGATGATCGACCATGTTCTGTTATTGAAATTGAAACTTCATTTTTATTTTTGCTTCACAATTCATATAATTTTACTTGAGTTTTACTCATTCGAATCTAAAATAAAAAGAATAAAGATTTTCATCATTAATGCAATTTAAAAAGTTGAATTAACAACAATCTATATCGATATTATATTATATTATATTTATTCATGCATCCTTAAAATTAAAACAGAATAGAACAGACGAAAAAAAACACTCGTGGAGAATAGAAAAGGAGAATAGGACCAATAATAAAATTAATGAAAAGAGGTCGTGCGAAACATGTTATCATCCAGTAGTATTAGTATTAATGTTATTTCAAATAAAAAACAGTTTTTTTTATAAAAAGAATCAAAGTGTTAATTTTATAGGCAAAATGTATTCTGTACACCCTGCTTTTTTCAACAGCGTGTAAAACAGCGTGTATTTGAGATGTCGCAAGGGTTTCGTACATTTTGATTTTGCTTGGTACACTTGCTATTCCGAACCCTGGTATACACCTTTTGCTTTAGGTATTGTTTTGGCCCATTGTTGATGAATCGATTGATTGTCACAGAAAACATAAATTGAGTGTAATTGTGACAAAGCTTGAATTTCTGGTACGATATGTTGTCCCAGTGCATTAGACACAATCATCCATACTTTTTCATCTTCAATGTCACTGAGAAAATCAACACATTGATCAACATCTGTAAATGTTGTGATTGTTGCTACAATATGTTGTAGATCTTGTATTGACTTGTTATAGTGATCTTTGGATTCATCGAAATTGGCATCAAGCCAGATCAGAAGAAAATTTTGGAGTACTCGGCGAACAGGTTGGGGTAGCACAGCAGCATGATTGGTGGTGACAGCCTTTGTTGATAATCCACCAGCAGCAGTTATTGTCGATTTTTGTTTGTCCATAACAGATGAGTGAATGAATGCAATAACTGAGAGGTCGTTTCCCTATGTATAAAGAATTGTTTATTCTTTTTGTTCACATTTTTTTTGGCTGGTTGCTATAGACTTTAAGGACTTCTTCTCTGTCGACCGTTGATTTATTTCAAGAGTGTTGCTGACGACATGACGATGATGGACGGGCAAAGTCTCTTTACATCAAGCAGGAAGCAAGGAAGAATACACAAGTAAGCAAAAAATAAGTGGAATGTCTGCAATACTCGTCATGACTAGTTATCCTGACAAGAAAAAGTTCTGCAATGATGTCTGGACTAGTCCAGAATATCCTTGAATCCCGGCATATCTAGTATGTTTGTCTATCTAATCTATCTAGATTAATCCGTAGGACAGAAAAAGAGTAAAAGCTGCAGACAAAAGACGGATTCGAACAACTGACCTATCTGTATTCAACACGTGATGCGTGTCCTGGCGTCACACCATGTCTTACCAAGAGACTGATGTCAGCTTTAATAGTTCAAATAGCAGACAGGCACTTATTCATTTGCTAGACAATCGAAATGGTCGAAAACAAGTGAGGGGTGAGTGTATGAGTGTTAATAAGGAAAAGATCCACACCAATTCTAAAATAATATGAATAATTTTTGTTGCATCACAATTTTATTTAACTTTAAATATGCACTCTGATTAGTTTAATTTAAGAATTAATTAAGATTGCACAAATCTATTCTAGTTCCAACGTTAAAATGGATTAACTTGATTTATAATAAAATAAAATTATGATGCTTCTATACATTATCTTCTCTTCAATTAAACAAAAAAATTATTAATTTATTTTGAACATGGTATTTGTTCCCATTCATTAATTTTTACTAAAACTTGATGAAAATAATATTTTAATTAAAAAAAACAGCCTTGTTTGAACTTATATATCCCCCTGAAAAAAATAGCTTAACTCGGTGTCTTTAACATATCATTATTGTAAATCAACATTTTTAAAAAAATAATTATATATTCGGATAGCCCGTGAAATTCTCTACAAGTTTATATATGTACGTTTTGAATTGCATTTGTTCGCTAAAAATATGCCCAAGCACAGCGAAGACATCCTCATCGTCAGATTCCTCGGAAATGCTTTTTTTACTCCTTCTTCATTCATACTTTTTAGTTTATTTTGAATATGCGAACAAGTTATTACAAAAGTAAGTATATATTCTAAGAGCACATGAAATGCTCTATCACTCTGTACTTTTGTCAGTCTTGTCTTGCAATTATTTGATAACCAATACTTCGAGTATTGTCAATGTATCCTCGCTGTGACACTCCCGCTCTCGATTACTACACGTGAACTCATACAGCAACCCATGAATGATTATCTGATAATCGAATAAGATGTATGAATAATTATTCACTTGTCAGTCCTTATCTTAATGCTGCTAAGAGTGATTCGTCTATGATGAACTATTTTGCAGAAAGATATGGCCTAAATCTTCAACAATATTTGGTCTAAGAACATGATGCGTGGGTCCATTAACAATACTTGAAGAATTTGTTATCAAATAATTGCAAGACAAGACTGACAAAAGTACAGAGTAATAGAGCATTTCATGTGCTCTTAGAATATATACTTTTGTAATAACTTGTTCGCATATTCAAAGTAAACTTAAAAATATGAATGAAGAAGGAGTAAAAAAAGCATTTACGAGGAATCTGACGATGAGGGTGCCTTAAATGTGCTTGAGTTTATTTTTAGCGAATAAGTGCAATTCCAAACGTACATGTATAGACTTGTAGAAAATTTCACGGGCTATCCGAATATATAATTATTTTTCTAAAAATGTTGATTTATAGCAATGATATGCTAAAGATACCGAGTTAAGCTATTTTTTTTCAGGGGGATATATAAATTCGTATTAGAATACAAAGGTTTTTTTATCCATATAAAAATTTAAAAAAATATATGAATAGAATTCAATTAAATAATGTCTATAAATGTTCACCAAGATGTAGGAGTTGAATTTTCGATCATACGATCCTTCATCTCGAAACGGCTTCGTCCAGAACTAGTCTGCATTTTTGATAATAATTTGATATATTACCGACACTAAAGTAGTCCTACGTGGATCTTTCACTTGAACAAAACTAGATATTATATGTGGGCTGATGCTTATCAGTGACGAATTTGGGACGAGATTTAAGGACACACCAGACCTTAGACTAGTCCTCGATTAGGACTGTTTGAGAAAAGACTAGAGAGATCGGAATGACATGGTTAAAAAGGCTGAAATATATTAGCAAATAGCATAGTGCTGTAACACTGAAGTCCTACGAAAAGAAAAAAAGGAAAAAAAATCTGATTTTAATCGGTTTTGTTTCGTCTTTTTTCTATATCGGAAAAGACTCTATTTTGTTTGTTTCACCTTATCGTGTATTAGCCAGTACAACAGTATAAATAAAATCTAAGTTATAACCGATTATAATTTCTTCTTTTGTTGCACAACAATAGAATTATCAACTTTGATCATGCTCTTAGTGTGCCAATAATAGAACCTCATGAAAGATAATAGCTGCCTGGTCTTTCTTTCCTATATTCACTATTTTCTCTCTTCTTATTTCTCTCTCCTTCCAAGTTTCCTTTCTCTCATATAAGCTTGTGTTCTATGCAACAGAAAACACCGCTGGAGTGATGAAAAGTCGAAATCGATTCGATTTCATTTTCTTTAATGATTACTTCATGAAGGTTGTTTTTTTATTTGAGCTGACTTTCAAGAGGTTATCTGGACACTTACTCTATTCTGTGAATAAGGACTTATTGTTTTCATGTACAAATCTTAGATTTTGATTCAGTACATTAAGATTCAAATAGATTCTTTTTATGTGTCTATATCATTGAGCAAATTCTATTATAATTTCTTGAATTCCTTGCTATGATATCTTCATATAAATTGAAAGTTGTGCCTTTCATTACTGATACTCCCGATGTAATGTAGGTATAAAAAAGTTAATGTGTGTAACGTGGTTTGCAGTGAGCCTATAATACATGTAAGAGCTTCTTCGATCAAGACAATCGACTGCGCATCCTGATTATCACTCAGCATAGTTCTCGTAAAACTACTTTCGTTTTTTTCTTATTTGTAGTCACTCTTTACTTTCAAATTTAATGTAATCACTAGTCTAAGAATGTTGGAAATTAAATATACTTACTTGTTAGTCGATAGTTCAGTGCACAAATTTTGTTTGATTTGCTTGCAATAGATTTTATTTTATATTTATAATCGATAACATTACTTGGTTTTTCCCCCATAAATGTATGTTTACGTGAATCAATGGACCATCACCTTTTTCATCACGTAGACAGCTTTTTTCCAACCATGTGCTCATCATCACATAAATTTCGTTCTTCATATGTTCTTCCTCTTTTTTACTTAACCTTGCGTTTCGTGTTGTGATAATGAGAAAATGTACACTAATATCTGCATGCGCTTAAATTTGAGTTGTAAATAAAATTTTTAACAAGTCGAAAGATGAAATGAAAAAATATATATATGAAATTTTTTATTTCTTTGTTTATGAACTTTTGACGCTGTTTGTGTGATCATCAGTGAAATAAAAAGATGACTCATTGGACATTGATATTCACTCTGATTTATATAAATGTCGACGTTAACTTTAAAATTCAGTTGTCTTTAAAAGAGATATTGATTTGTATAAAAAATGATCGATTAAACAATAAGATAGTTAGTTAATTTTTTTAATGGTGGCTAAACATTTCTAAAGTATATTACAAAAATTTCATATCTTTAAAACTCTAAGATCTTTTCTCGTATATACTATGGATTTTCACAAAGGATAATTGCTGAATTTTAAATAGATGAATGCAAGTGACGTGAGTAAACATACGACAAGAAAATAAATAGGCTGTAAAATATGAAGAAAATTGTTCATAGCTGTAGATTTTCTTCTAGTTGTCCGTCTTTACCGGCTCATTGTTGATAAGTGAATCTATATCCGTAGAAGGAAATGTTTTGTCAATTGTAATTGACGTCTGTATCACTACCTCATCAGGTTAAAAAAACAAAATTAAGTTCCTAATCATACAACTTTCATGAGTTTTCAGATCTTGATCAACAGATATGCTTCGAACATTAGACTGATTAAGACTTGCATGAATCAATAATATTAATTTTCCTCTCTCAATGGTGATATTTGCAGTTTTCTATCGTTTTTCAATGAAACTTATTTTTAAATCACTCGAATACATTTGATTTCAAAATAGAGAATAGTTGATTTTGAAACTAAAGGATGTGGGTGTGGGTGTGGGTGTGAGAGAATAGAAGACCCACCAACACCCACACACCCACACTCACATCCCACATTCCACACTCTCCACACCCACACCCACACCCACAGCCACACCCCATACCCCATACCGACACCCACACTCACACCCGCACTCATACTCACACCCACACCCATCAGAGTAGTTTTTCATATTCCTGATGAAATTCAACCATCTGATGATCTACTGTGTCAAACAGTAGTGAAAACGGTGATGGTTGTTCATACTCAATCATAGTACCTGTCATCACCCTACTGAAATCGAAAAAATTTAGACTTTTTGTGTCTTTCATAGGGTACACTAGTCTTTTGATTGTGTGATTTCTAGAATCATTAATGGTCATCTTTTGCCATTTGAAGAGTCCTCTAGTCAGTATGAAGTCGATCATGGCAGTTGTTCTTATCCTCATGGATGATCCTTGTAGGATTCGCAAGTTTTGCTTTCTATTTCAGATTTCTATTGTAAGAAACTCACTGTCTCAAGAGTAACCTCACCAACTTTATTGATTCAAAAAAGCCTCTGTTAAAGCGACGTATTGAAGTTCCTCTTCAGTTAAACTTTGACGTAAAGTTAACATAAGAATTGAGTGTTGAATACCTTGTTTTGCAGCTAAAATTCGCGAATCCTTTGAACCAAGTGACTTTGTAAAAATATCATGTGCTTTCGTGAA